GAAAATTTTTACTGTAGGTAAATATGCAACATTTTCTTTGTGGATTATGCTTTTTTATCTTACCACTTAGGCTAGATTGGCTAGTGAACCCCCAGGGACTCTTCTTTCTTCTTTACCTCTTCAGTACTGGGATAATAAGTGTGGGCAACGACACTGGTCACTTTTATAGTTTCCAAGGTTCACATTTATGTTATCTGACTTGACAGCAGGTGCTTTTACCCAATGAGCTCTCATCTGCATAAGAAATTAAACAACATCCACTTTTGATTTCTTCCTGTCCACCTCCATTAGTTACTGCTAGACCTCATAGTAACTGTTTCTTAATGTGCTTGCAAGATTGAGTTTTCTTTACCTTGGTTAATTTCTTCTTAAATACTGTTTTCAGGGCTGGGGATATAGCTTGGTGGTAGAGTTCTCTCTTAGCATCCATGAAGCTCTGGGTTCTATCTTCAGCACAGTGTAACACAGACCAAAACAAACAATAATGAACACTTGCCCCACAGAAAATCCTCTCCCCAAACAAAACACCTGGTTCCTAAAGTCCCCCCCCCTTTTTAGCACTTGTGTCTCAAATTAAAAATATTATTTGTTAACTGCTTCATATATTTATACAATTTTGATCATATCTATCCTCATTACCCTCATTTGTCCCATTCCTCCTGAACCCCTTATTTCCCACCAAAGTCCCCTCACTTTTCTACCCCTTTCTCTCTGTGACCTACTGAGTTTAATTAGGGCTGTTAGTGTGAGCATGGGATTTATTTACCAGAGCATGGCCACTTGCATTGATTACAGTACTGAAGAACTGTCCACTGCAAGAGAAGCTTCTCTGACTAAGGCCAAGAGCAGCACAATCTATGGGAATGAACATAAATAGTTAGGCAACATGACAGCATATTCATTTAGCAAAACAACAGCAGTAGGTTCTTCCTAGGGCCTGTGACCTTCCTGTGTAGAAGAGGGTTCAAATCCATTCAGAAGGCAGTTGTCTATTTCCTTAAAGTCATGTTGCTATGTTTCCAGGGGCATATTTGCCTGTCATGTCAGCATTGGAGGTTAAGATGCTGGTGATTTTTCTTCCCCATCATCCTACATACACCTTCTGAGCAGTATGAAATCTAGCTGCAGGGAAGAAGCTTCCAGCCCAGTTCCAACCTAATGTCTCTTAAGTCTTACAACCAAGGTGTGTGTTGTCTAACAAAACAATCTATTAGCAATAGCTTTTGTTCTACGGCCTCTGGTGTCTCTCTGACCAGTGGGAAGTATCCCATATTAATAACCTGTGCTGGACTAGAGAGATAGTTAAGAAAGTTTGGTTCCCAGTACCCATGTCAGGTGACACACAACCACTTATAACTCCAGTTCTAGGGAATTCCATTGACAGTGGCCTCTGGGCAACTGCATGCATATAGAGTACACACTCGCACAAGAACACACATATACACACATGAAAAAAATCTTAAAAAATGTGACTTCTGGAAGCTGGAATTTATTTTTTATGTATGATGTAGAGATTATCCCTCCTCTGTATTATAAACACACCATTCTATGTGCTTAGATTATGTGATATTTCATTCTCTATAACCTGCAATGTAGAAATGAAGGGAAACTGCTGTTGACTTTACTCAGAGACTGGCAAGTACAATTAGCTAGTCTAGTTTTTAATTCTGGTTTGTTCCTCCTTACAGAACAGTGCTCAGAGTCTCAGTAAGTACTGCCTTTCAGGCCCCATAATATGTCCTTGTGCCTCCTACATGCCTGGAATTTGTGTAGGCTGCACAGGGGCCAGAAAGGAGAGTTGTTTGTCACAGTAGGAAAAAGCTTTGTCCTCTCTCCTGCACTTAGCAATGCCTCATCAGAAGCTTTCGGCGTTTATGTAAGAAGTTTAATTTTTCTAGAACTTGGGTTTACTTAGTTTTACAATTTTGTCGACTAGGATGTTGTCTTTCTTAGTACTAGAAATATCTTATGATAAACACATTCTTTGATACTGTTAGCTTTGTGTTGTGGAAGAAGTGATTAGTGGGCTTTGTAATGTGGGAAACCTCTTACAACTATCTTCCATGTCTTCAACTTTCTTCCTTCTTAAATTATTTTTGTCTCCAAAGACCTTGTACCAGGTACTCCATTTGGAAAAGGCGAGGAAGAGGCTAAAAAATAATTTGCTTAAAGAAAAGTGTGGGTAGTGAGAGCGAATGAACATGGGAGGAGAGGGGTGGGCACAGAGGGTAAAGTGTGTGAGATGATTTATGCCTCACTTACACATTAGGACTTCCAGTGAATCTTTTTTTTTAAAGCCATTTTTTAAAAAATGTATACAGTGTTCTCCTGCATACGTGCCTGCCAGAAGAGGGTACCAGATCTCATTACAGATGGGTGTGAGCCATCATGTGGTTGCTGGGAATTGAACTCAGGATCTCTGAAGAGCAGTCAGTGCTCTTAACCTCTGAACCTTCTCTCCAGCCAGTTTGTTTTTTCTTTAGGCAGCCTTGAACCTGCTCAAAGCTGTTTAGGGGGAAACATTTTTTTCAGGATGTTAAAAAGGAGGAGGGCTTTGCATTTCTCGTCTTTTTTCAAGTGTGTATGTTTGATCCAATTTAGTGCTGGAAGGGTCAGCAGTGGAAAACTCTCAGTCTTAACCAGTCATGTTCTTGAATCTGTAAGCTTTTACATGTGTACATGTTTCTGCTTAAGGACTATGATGTTATATGTTTTATATATATTAATGTTAGTGATAATTTGGTCTGAAACCAGTTATTCCCTTTTAAAGGGATGCAAATTACATTGATTAGACAATCATAAGGTTATTTTTCTTGTGCTTCTGCATTTCTTGATTTGTTGTTGCTGTGGTTACTTGTTATTGGCAGTGATTATAAACATTAGTTCCATAGTGACTCTTGTTTCTTTCCTGTAATAATTGACACTGGAAAAAAAGGAGCTTTTGACAAACGATTAAAATGAAGTTGCTTCTGATTGTAGTTGTATAATTTTTGAGTGTACACAGGAAAACAGTCTAAGCTAGTGTAAAAGTCTGAGGGGATGAGCTTCTAAGTATTGTAGTCAGTGACTTGAGAACACAGAGATTTAAATTCTGATTCGGTTTCCTTAAAAAATTTTATTTTTTATTTGTGTGTGTATGTATATATGTGTATGTGTTTAGGTCAGAAGACAATTTGTGGGAGTTGATTCTTTCCTTTCTTGTAGTTCCTAGGGATCAAACTCAGGTTGTTAGACATGATGACAAGTGCTTTTACTGGCTGAGCCATCTTGCTGGCCCTAAATTCCTACGTATATAGTAAAAGACATTTAGTAACTACCAACTGAAGATTCGGGCTGTTAAAATTATGCAATATTGTTTTTCAAGGAAGTACAGATGAACTTTGAAGTTTACTTATCTGCATCTTGTTTTCATTGTACTGTTATTAAAAATTATCAGCCGGGTTGAGGAGGTGGCTCAGTAGCAGAGCATGTCTAGCATGACTCGGTCCTGGCTTTAATGCCAGTACCACAAACAGTACCACAAACAAAATTTATTACCTGGGTATGATAGTTTACACCTGTAATCTCAGTATTTGGGAGGTTGAGGCAGTAGGGCTACAAAATGGATTTCAGAGCAGCTTGGTCTAGAGAATGAGACTATCTCAAAAATCAACACACCAAACCAAACTAAACCAAACCAACCCAAACCAACCAACCAACCAACCAACCAACCCAACCAACCAAAGTTGGGGATGTTGCTGGAAAGAGTACTTATCTAGAATGCAAAATCCCGACACCAGAAAGGAAGATCATGTCAGTCATGTTAGAAAGATATGTTGTTGATCAGATCTGCTTAGTATTTAGAGGCATTACTTTTCCTGGAACAGTACTTGATAGCCTGGGTGTAGTGGACATTTTATTGTGGAAGTATTTGTATGAGTCAGGCGAACTTGACTTTTCTGAAATATGATATGTTGTCCTTTGTGATGTGTGTTATATTTATTCATCTGCTATATAATTGATGACTGTATATGTATATGATAAGGATTGAACAAGCCATTAGAGATAATAGATGGTAAGTACAATCAATGATATGTGTGTTATAGGAAGTGGATTAGTATAGTTCTTATTTCTATTAATTTAATTTAATGATAATAATTATAATTTTTTAGAAGTCTTGTAAAAATTTGTTTCAGATCCCCCTGGAACTGCAGTTACAGGCATTTGTGAGCTACCTGACATGGGTGCTGGTAACCAAACTCAGGTCTCTAGAAGAGTAGCAAATGCTCTTAAACTGCTGAGCTGCGTTTTGAGTCAGGATCTCATCGCATAGGCTGATCTTCAGCTCCCAGTCTACCCACCTCAGCCTCATGGAAAATGCTGCGATTACAGTCATGTGCCATCATGTCCAACGATAGTTATTTTTTTTTTAATTTAACATTTAAAAACATTTTTGACACTTACTTGTTTTGTGTGTGTGTTTGTGAGTGTGTGCACCAGGGCACGGATGTGGTGATCAGAGGACAACCGGTAGGAGTCAGGGGTTAAACTCAGGTTATCAGGCTTGGCTGTCTCACTGTCCCAACAATTGAGTTCTTAAATATGAAGATCAGGGCCTTGTAGAGAAAAACCTTCTGAGCAAGAGTTAGATAACTCGTGAGTTAGAGCCTCCCTGAACAGAAAGATTTAAAAGTAGAAGTGGGTTTGAGATATAGTAGTGCAATGTCAGAGAGCACTCGACTAGCATGCACAAAAGCCACTAGCTAAATGAATAACAACTAAAACCTGTCTGTGGGCCTCGGCAAAGTTGAACTAATGCATAGCTTTATGTAGCCATAAACCTCTTCCATTCTCTGAATGCTTTGGCTTTGAAGATCAGATTCCAAGGTCAGATGCTTCTGTAAGAGGAAGCAGCCTGTTAGGAACCCTCTGCTGTGTTTAGATTCAGGAACTGCAGAACCCTTCGGGAAGGAAGTAAAAAACACAAAAAGCCTTCTGTTTGATTTTTTTTTTTCTTCCAGTGATGCCATCTGCAATTTTGTCATTTGCAATGATTCTCCCCTTCGAGGTCAGCCTATTATCTTCAATCCTGACTTTTTTGTGGAGAAACTCCGACATGAGAAACCAGAGATGTTCACTGAGTTGGTGGTCAGCAACATCACAAGACTTATTGATTTGCCTGGAACTGAGCTGGCTCAGCTGATGGGGGAAGTGGACCTTAAGTTACCTGGTGGGGCTGGCTCAGCCGCAGGGTTCTTCAGGTCTCTGATGTCGCTCAAACGGAAGGGTAGGTCTTGTGTCTGTGAAGGGCACAGTTTTAGCTGCTGAGTGGACTTTACTCTCTTTTGAAAATATGTATTTTAAATTTATGTTATCTATTTGTGCCTGTTTGTTTGTATGCAAGCCAGGTATATGCTGATGCCCATGAAAGCCAGAGGATGGTGTCAGATACCCTGGAACTGGAGTTATAGGCAGTTGTGAGCTGCCATGCCAGGTCCTCTGCAAGAGTAACAGCGCTCTTAACTGTTGAAGAGAGCTTCTGCACTGTGCTTTATCCCCTTACATTTGCCCCTTACTGGGAAGTTGTAATCATCCTGAAGATTTGTTGGTCTTTTTCTCTCATTTTCATTAAAACTTTAAACAGTAGTAATAAAAATTATAAAACTGTCTAGATGAAGAAATACTTAAACCTGGCATGGTGATGTAAATCTTGTAATTGCAGCATTTGGGTGGCTGAGGCAAGAAGATCTGAAATTTGAGGGCAACTTGGCACATTGTGAAATGCTGTCAGAGAGAGAGGAAGAAGAGGAGGAGAGAAGGGAAGGGGAGGGGAAGAAAAGGAAAGAGGGAGAGGAGAGAAGATAGTAAATATATTCAGTGTCTGAGAGAGAATATAATTAGTTTAGATTAGTTTAGGTAGTTATCAAGGGCATCTTAATTTTCATGACATATGAATATTGTACAAAAATATTGTTTTTCAGTGACCTTTTGTCCTTCTTCTCTCTCTCTCTCTCTCTCTCTCTCTCTCTCTCTCTCTCTCTGTGTTTCCCTCTCTCTGAGTTCTCTCATTCTGTTGCCTACGCAGATCCCACTAGGCTCAAATGATCGTCTTCCCTTAGCCTTTAGAGTAGCTGGGACTATAGGAATGAACTGCTCTAGTGAGTTAAAATGATAGTAGAAAAAATAAAGTGACATAGCAGGATAGTGCAGTCAAGGAAGCCTGAACATTTTTTTTTGTTGTTTTTGTTGTTTTACTGAAGATGAGCTCAAGGCTACATTCATACTAGGCAATCTTTTTACCACTGAGTTACATACTTAACCTCTACAAAAAACCTAAAACAAAACAAAACGTCCAAAAAACTATAGCTGGATATTGTGGCATACGCCTTTAGTCCCAGCACTCACGAGACAGAGGCAGGATGATCTCTGTGAATTTGAGGCCAGCCTGGTCTACACAGCAAGCTCCAGGATAGCCAAAACCTCATAAAGAGACCCAGTCTCAAAAATCGAAATAAATAAATAAAATGAAAAAAGACTACAGTAGTTCGCAAATGTTTTCATTTTATGGACTGCTTTGATAAAGTAGGGTCCTATAATCACCTTCCAAAAAAGCTTGTCTAGCAGTAAGTGGTAGCCCAGCTCTGTGTGTATGCATATGTAAGTTTCTGAGAATTCCATACATGTATACAATTGTATTTGATCCTGTCTGCCTCTATCCCTCCAACTTCCCCTGGCCTCCCTCGTGTATATCCCCATCTGAGCTTCATGTTCTCTTTCCTTCTTTTCTTTCAGTTTGCTTATTTTTAGGTGATCTCATGTGTAGCCCTGACTGGCCTGGAACATGCTACATAGACAAGTTCATAGCTTTGAACTCACCAGAGATCTACCTGCCTCTGTTTCCCAGCATTGAGATTAAAGGTGTATGCCACCTTGTCCAACTCTCCCCCACCCCGCCCAGATAGTTTTTCTCTGTGTAGCCCTAGCTGTTTTGGAACTCATTCTGTAGATCTGGGTAGCCTGAACTCAAGAGCTCTGCCTGCCTCTACCCCATGAGTGCTGGGGTTAAAGGCATGCACCACCACTGCCTTGTTCTTTTTCCTTTTTTAATAATCCACAGAGACTAATTTGTGCCCCCTGCATGCACACTGGTTTGGGGACATGAGGGATTTCCCAGTGGCTACACAGCAGCCATCAACTGCAGTAGCTCCTCAGCTAGGGTGGAGCCTGTAAAGCTGACCGGCTTGCTCTCGTGCGGGTCTTCTGCAAGTAACCACACTTGCTGTGACTTCGTAAGTACGATGGCTGTTTCATGTCTGAAAGAGAGCGTGTCACAGCCTTCTTCTCCACCCCCTGATTCCTACTGCATTTGTTTAAAATCCCCTTCTATTTCATTTTCTTTGAACTTTTGGGGGAAGAATTTTGATATTGACATCCCATTTAGGATTGAGTACTCACAACCAACTATTCAAAACTCTGTGACCACTACGAGCCTTTACATTAACTGAGGCCCACTCGGAAAAGAGTTCTGACTGAAGTTGAGAGCAGCTCACATCTGTAGAACATTTAAAGATAGTTTCACAATTTAGCAAAACAATAGTAGGTTGCTCCTGAAGGCCTGTGGGCCTCCCCAGCCATGGGCTTTTGACCAGGCTTACAGTACCAGGTATAAATTCTCTCCTGGGGAGCAGGCCTCAAAGCCAACAAGAAGTGTAGAGTTCTGCTTTTTTACTCCTTTTAATGATTTATTTATTTTATTTTAATGTACATTGGTGTTTTGCCTGCATGTATGTCTGTGTGAGGGTGTTGGATTCCCTGGAATTGGAGTCACAGATAATAGTGAGCTGCCATTTGGGTGCTGGGAATTGAACCTGGATCCTTTGGAAGAACAGCCATCTCTCCAGCCCTGGAGCACTACTTTTGATAAGATATTAAAGAGGTCCTGTTTTATTTTATTAAATATTAAGGAAATCATTAAGGCAGGATGAAATTTTAAATATTAAAAGATCATATCCTGTACGAACTCTAGTGAGTAATTGTCATGACTTCACAATCATGGTTCAGGTTCTTATTTTGTTACTTTTTAAATAAAATCTCAATGTGCTAGGTATTGTTTTTTAAATAATGAAAAGTCTTGTCCTCCAGGAATTTATGATCTGATACTGAATTTAGAGAGAATTGACTTGACAGTTGCTCTGACAGCATTTTTGGGTGTGTTTCTAGTTTTTATTTGTAAACGAGGACTGCACTTTGGTTTCTTGGCTGCCCACACCCGAAAAATTACACAAAAACTATATTAATTACAACACTGTTTGGCCAATGGCTCAAATATTGCTAACTAGCTCTTATATCTTAAGTTAACCCATATCTATTATTTATATTTTACCACGAGGCTCGCGGTTTGTTACCCCACATCTTGCTTCTTGGGCAGTTACATGCGTCTCCTGACTCACCTTCTTCCTGCATTCAGTTTAGTTTTCTAGCCTAACTCTATTCTGCCCTGTCATAGGCCGAAGCTTCTTTATTAAACAATGGTAATAAAACATATTCACAGCATGAAGAGGGGAATCCTACATCATTTAGTCTTATTTTTTTTTGTTTTTGTTTACTAATCTTGTGAAAACATTAAATGAAAGTAGAATGCTTGAATGCGTTTAAAATCATGGTATTTGGGCTGGTGAGAAGGCTCAGCAGGTGAAGGCATCCATTGCCAGCCTGACGACCTTGAGTTTGAGTTCCAAGACCCACAGAGTGGAAGGGAAGAACCATCTTCCATAAGTTGTCCTCTGAACACCACGTTTGTCATGCCCCCGCCCCCGAATAAATACATATGCTTAAAAAGAATCATTACATTGATGACCTTGTACTCCTTATGTGATACAGCCCTGTCCTATGATATCTTTTTTTTTCTTTTAGAAAAAGGAGTGGTATTTGGATCTCCACTGACAGAGGAAGGCATTGCCCAGATATACCAACTGATTGAATATCTGCACAAAAGTAAGACTACTCAAAGCTTCAATAGTCTGTGTTTAAGGAAGAATTGCCACTTTTCCTTTGAGAGTTGACTGATGGGTTAGCAGATGTCAACTACTACTCAGCAACAAAGAACTGAACCACTGATTTTCAGGTGGTAGATTTTAAAAATATATTTCCTTTTGAATTTCATGTCAATTACCGATTTGCTTTGCTTTCAAAGATATAGATAAATTAGATAATGTCTATGAAACCATAAGTAGCTCTTAGGCAATTCTGAAGAATTCCTTGCGCCTAAAGAATTATGAAATTTATTCACGAAGCATCATAGTTCCATCATCAGAATTCTGTGATTAACATATACTCTTCAGCTAATTCTCATATATTTTATTTTATTTATTTTTTTCGAGACAGGGCTCATTGAGTTTTTAGTAGTTCTGTGAGCCATGTCATCATTCTAAGAGCTCAGCATAGCCAAGAACATGTAAATGTGGGGTTTTTGTAAGACTTGGTATGCCAGTTGTTTACCATTCAGTCATACCTTCTGACTTACTGGGTGTGAGACGCTGTGCAGGAGGAACACAAAAGAGATCGTGAACTTATGTCTTGAAAGGGTTGGAGGCGTCTGGATTTGTGTATGTTTGTGTTTTAAGTTTTTAAGTGTTTTATTTTGGCAAGAGATTTGATTAAAGCATAACCACCCATCAGGGTTTTAGAGTGGGGAGATTGTAGGTTCTCAGCTTATTTGTATGATGAGAATTCCTGGCTTTCTTCAGCCCAGCTGCTGTGTGGATGTGCCCTACTGGAGCACAAGGATGTGTTTTGCAGCTTGTTGTGGGTCCCATTTATTCCTTTGCCTGGCCCTGAAATTGGGACTGTACAAAGATGGAGAAACATGGACAGGCTTCTTCCTGATCAAACAATGTGTCTGGCTACCTCCCTTTTGAAATCTCCTTACATGAGCTTAGAGCCTAGTTGGATGGGAGCTGCTTATTTGGAATGACCTAAGCTTTCAGGAGTCTCTTAGCTGCAGGGTGATCTCTTAGAATTCTGAATCACACAATAATGCAAAGATTCTAGGTTTATTCTTGGCTGAAAGAAACAGTTTATAGGAGCCACAAATGCCCGTAGATGAGCTCAACTCCTTGAGAGTCTGTGAGGAAGAAGGATAAAGGGATCTTGAGGTTTGCTTTTCTTTCATTTTACTTTTCAAGTTTTTTTTTTTTTTTTGACTATTGATTGTGTTAAATTCAGTATCCAGTGGTACCTCAGGAGGATGAGTGACCTTTGCAGGACCTCTTTTCAGTTTGAATCATCTCTAGGTGCTCGGGAAATTTCAAGCTTCTCTAGAAATATTGACACAATCTTGTTTAGCAGGGGTGCTGTGGAAGGTCTTTAAAGAGAAGTCATGTTTATACTGTGCACACTAACCATAATTCTCCTCTGTTTCCTTTTGGACATCCATGCTAAGCAGACTTGCGAGTAGAAGGCCTGTTCAGAGTACCAGGCAACAGTGTCCGACAGCAGCTTTTGAGGGATGCTCTCAATAATGGGACTGATATTGACTTGGATTCAGGAGAGTTTCACTCAAATGATGTTGCCACGCTGCTGAAGATGTTTCTAGGAGAGTTACCAGAACCTCTGCTGACTCATAAACATTTCCATGTACACCTCAAAATTGCTGGTGGGTATAAGAAGTAAGAAAGAGATGAAAATATTTTTTCGATTTAGTGAAGTCCTTTGTGATCTCCTATTGTTTGTTACTCACTGTGGTGCTGATGTTGCCCCAGACTTCATGATCCTAATGTACTTATAAATCTTGATTAGTTAAGTTTGATTTGATCAATTGTCTTCGTCCTCTTCATTCTTCTCCTTTTAAAACATTTTTTTTAAAATTATAAGTATTTTGTATGTTCATGTGTACATGACATGACATGCATGTGTAGGTCAGAGGACAATTTTTGGGAATTAGTTCTCTCCTACCATGTGGTCTTGAAGACTCATCTCAGGTCACCAGACTTGGCAGCAAGCATCTTTACCTTCTGAGACATTTCACTGACTTTAAATATTTTCCTTTTAGAAAATATTTTTTAAAGATTTATTTTTATTTTATATGTGTGGGTGTTTTGTCTACAAGAGCAACAAAGTGCTCTTAACCTCTGAGTCATCTCTAAATTCCCTTAAATGTTTTTGATAAATTTCCTGTTGATTTTCGTATCTCAGATGTAGTCCACCATAGTACTTAGAACATTTTAATTGCTCGATAAAAGCGTGCCTTCCCTGGGGTTGGGTGTGTCACTGGGTTTATACCTTTCAGAAAGTTGCTGGTTCTGTGCTTTTGCCTTGGTTTGGAGGTTTTTCAGGCATTTCCATACCTAAATTGAGGTCACCTCTGCCTTTGCAAACTCTTCTTTTAAAAGCGTTATTATTTGCTTATTGAGTAGGCAGTCTACCCTCATGATCAATATGGAAAAGCTTCTTTCTCCCCCTGTTCCCTAGCACCAGTTCCAGAGGCAACTGGTACTGTGATGTCTAATATATCCTTCCAGAGGTGTTTTGTGCACTATGTATATATATATTCTTTTCTGCCTCTGTATGTAAAGGCAGAATATTATATACATTATTCTGTGTTTGCTTTTTCCCTTACTGTATCTTGGCGACTGTTCTATTCTTAGCTCATAGTTTTTTCATTCTTTGTGTCTATGTGGTAGAGAATTCATTCTTAAATTGCATAGCTATTATGCTACAGTAGGCTCTAAGTGCACACAGTGTCAAAATCTATGTGTAGTTTTTCACCCATGGCATTTCTTCTTTCTCTTCCCACTCCTTTCCTCCACCCTTCACCTTCTCTGCCTCCCTCTCTCTTTCCTTTTCTTCCTCTTTCTCACTACCCCCTCTGTGAGATAAACGTCTTAACCTCTGAACTCTCTCCAGCCTTTCAGCTGAGACTTTAAAAGTCATATTCACTGGTGATTTTGATAATACAAATGAGGATACATTACTAATATGCATGTAATTTTGCAGTTACATTTTAGAGACATGAAGTTTTAGATCTTTAAAAAAGATTGGAAAGTATAAATGTTATGTTATGTGTTTGTTTTATTTGCCTTTCTTTTGCGCTCTTCATTTGGTCCAGTATCTGGCACCCTCCACTGTGCTGCCCGGTGACTCACTGCTCTTGAGAACATATGAAGGTGTGGCACAGCTGGAGAGTCATCCTGTGCATGATTCCCTCTGACTTACCCTTTAGCCACAACCTGTCTGACTAGGGAAGAGAAGAAGGGCTGACATTGTCAGAGGTGTGTGTGGACCTCTTGATTTTAATTCTTTTGGGTATTGCTGAGACATAACTATAACTAACTTTTTGAGGCACTGCCTAAATGTTTCCCAAAGTGGTTACACTGGGTTTGGAGAGATGGCTCAGTGGTTGAGTACTGGCTGTTCTTCCAGAGGACCCCGGTTCAATTCCCAGCATCCACTTGGTGGCTTACAACTATCTGTAACTCCAGTTCAGGGGATCTGATGTTCTCTTCTGACTTCAGTGGGCAGTGCACACACAAGGTGCACAGACATACATGCAGGCAAAAGAGGCAAAAGACCCATACAGATTAAAAAAAGATCCAAAGTTATTACACCCTTTAATATTCCTATGTGCAGTATAAGGTTTATTGCTCGTGTTCCAGTATTTGTATTGTCAGTACTTTTGTTCAGATCATCCTAGTAGATGTGAAGTGGTATCTTGTGGTTTTGCTGATAAACGGTTCAAGCATGCTCAGACTTACTGACCTCTCATATGACATCTCCCTTCTTTCCTTTCTCTTCTTCCCTCCTCCTTTCTTTTTTTTTTTAATTGATAAGGCCTGCTAAATTGCCTCAAACAATCCTTCTACCTCAGCCTCCCAAGTAGCTAGAACTATAGGTGTGTGTCACTGTGCCTGGTTTGTGTATGTTATTTTCTTAGAAGGGATATCTATTCAGTTTGGTTTTTTTCTTTTGAGATAAGGTGCCATTATATGACTCAGGCTGCCTCTCAGCCTCTTGAGTGCTAGGCACATGTGTGTACATCATCACAACTAACCTTCTACTTAAATCTTTCCCACATTTTAAAATTGGATTGTCTTTAGTTATTGAATTAGAGTGACTTTATTTTTTGTGTTTTGTGTTTTCTTTCTTGTGGTGCCAGGGCTCATGCTATGCCTGCTAACATGTTCATAGTCACACAGGAAATACTTTGCAAAGCCCATTGCCTATTTTCTTTTCTTTTTATAGTATTGATATTTGAATCTAGGACCTTCTTAAGGTATTAGGAGTTTTGAATTTCCTTTATGATTGATTCTTTTATTCTTTCTCTTTCTTTAGTGGAACTTAATGGGAAATAATAATCAATAATATCATTGATTTTTCTTGCTGATTATTCCTTCCTTTTCAATAATTTTTTTTTTAAGATTTGATGCAGTTTGATGATAAAGGAAATAAGACCAACATACCCGACAAGGAGCGGCAGATTGAGGCCCTGCAGCTGCTTTTCCTCATCCTCCCTCCAGCCAATCGTAACTTGCTCAAGTTACTGCTTGATCTCCTGTATCAAACAGCGAAGAAGCAAGACAAGAATAAGATGTCTGCCTATAACCTTGCCCTTATGTTTGCACCTCATGTCCTGTGGCCCAAAAATGTTAGTATTGAGGGAAAGATCTTCAGGGCTTGGTTTTCTCAGTCTGGGCCCCTCCTGTGATTGAACATTGGTGAGATTATCAAGGATCCAAGGTCCAGCCTTCATATTTATGATGTTAGAAGCTTAGGAGTCATCAAAGCTGAGAGGCCTGGTTCCTGGAACCTCACTGATAAGTCAGTCTCTAGTAATCCTGCATGACCACTTCTTTCTGGAATATTCTAGCTGCTAAAGAAGCTAGATTTGTTTTGATTAGACAGTGTAAATTCCATCTTAATAGGGATGCTTCTTGGCAAATCAAATTGATTTCTAACAATTGAAGGAGTAATACAAATTAATTTCTAAAGGTTTAGAATAAAGTAGTGTAATTGTGTGAGATAATATTCTGAGCTGACAGAACAATCTAACCTGTCCCAGCAGTTTTACTCCCATATATTCAGTTTTATTTTATAAAGCTAAATGTGCTTCTTACTGGGGCCATGGCTTCGTTAGTGGCTTACATTTTAAAGAAGGTTGTTAAACAAAGGTTTGCCCTGGACCCGTGAAGCTCAGGTTCCCTCCCCTTCACAAAATAGGCTTTGATATGAGATGAGATTATGAGTAGCTTACCTGGGTTGGAAACCACAACCCAGATAGATTTGTTACCTGTTTCTTTGTCCTTTCTGTGTAAAGTGGGCATGGAGTAGCTGTTACCAGTTACCTCATAAGTTGTTAGGAAAACAATAGCAATAGATTGTTATAGTGACTGTTGGGAGGATTTGAGAGTAAAAGAAATAAGGAGTGCAGGTGGTGGTGGTGGTGGAGTGGTGTGGCATATGCCTGTGATGCAGCATGTGGGTGGCAGAGGTAAGCAGGTCTCCATGAGTTTGAGGCCAGTCTGGTCTACAAAACAAGTCTACAAAGCCAGAGCTATTACACAGAGAAACCCTATCTTGAAAAACTAAAACCAACCAGCCAACCAACCAAACAAACAAAAATAAGGAAAGGAAGGTTAAGAGAGAGGTTATATGTAACATTTTATCTTAGTAAGTAACAAGTCAAAATGAATGGACTGCTCTGAGCTAGGAAAATCCAGGAGTGGGTTAATGGGGAGCAGATGCACCGACATTTATCCACATCAGGGAACTCAAGTCTCATTGTGAAGGCTTTTGAATTACCTAACCAAGTTCTAGAGGCCAGGGCATGAAGCTTATCATCAGAGCATATGCTGCAGCCTGGGTCTGACCCAACCAACGAAGAGAAAACCTCCAATGCTATGGAAAAGAAACAAGCTGTGGTTAGAAAAAGAAGTGTGTGAGGGGCCTTGGGAAGAGCAAACAGATAAAATAACAAGGGTGAAGGCATGGCATATAAGATGTCAGCTCCAGTAGTGTTAGTAGCCAGTTCTCTGGATGGATGCCCCAATCTCTGCAGAGCCAGTGTCCTTGATGGCTGGTACAGACTGGCCTTTCTGCTGGGTGTGGTTTGAATCCTAGGTTAGATTTTCTGCTTAGGTATCTGTGAGCAGAGCAGGAAATGAAGAAAACTTAAAGATTTTCTGGTCACTTTAGGGACACATGTCTATGCTTTTATGTTGTTTCAAGTGACATGTACCGGTGAACACTTCCCACTTCTTAATGCCCTTTGTTTGGTCTCTTCCCACTGACTAGGTCACTGCAAATGACCTTCAGGAGAATATCACCAAGTTAAATACTGGGATGGCTTTTATGATCAAACACTCCCAGAAGCTTTTTAAGGTAAGTAAGGGATGGCATTTGGCTGGTAACAGGACAAGGAAGGTGGCAGAGTGGGATCCTGGATGAGAGGTGCTCTTTGAGATTGTAAAGCAGAATGGATAGTGGGGAGGGCTAGAAATAGGAGCCAAGTCTTCTCTGTCCTCTGGCTAATTGACTTTCTTCACCAAAGGAAGCACAAGCTGGTGGTTGCCTAGTCTTATCTTGCCTACCTACCCAAGTCTGTGGGTTTGATAGTGCCTTTCATGTCACACACTGTCTCTTTAAGCACAAGCAGGCAGTGTTTCTGAGGGATAAGTTTCTCAAGAACTTCTTATGTCTTTTGTAGATTTCATGGGTTTAGTTCATTACACAAAAGCCACATGTATTAAACTTTGAAAGTAAAGTCCTCTACTTTGGTCTCCTGCTGAGCATCTGAGCTGCAATGTCTGAGTTTCCTAAAGACTCCCTACTTCAGGGAGAGGATTGATCCCACCTGTCCTCAAGATAAGATCTTTGCTCATGCTGACTCACTGCTGTTGCTAAGCATTCAGGAATGGTCATTAGAGTGTACCTCTTTCTTTCTTTCTTTCTTTCTTTCTTTCTTTCTTTCTTTCTTTCTTTCTTTCATTGATTTTTATTGAGCATTTTTCTCTGCTCCCCTCCCTGCCTCTCCCTCCCCCCTTCAAACATCCCCCAAGGTCCCCATTCTCCCAATTTACTCAGGAGATCTTGTCTTTTTCTACTTCCCATGTAGATTAGATCTATGTATGTTTCTTTTAGTGTCCTCATTGTTGTCTAAGTTCTCTGGGATTGTGGTTTGTAGACTGGTTTTCTTTGCTTTATGTTTAAAAACCACCTATGAGTGAGTACAAGTGTTTGACTTTTCACAGCACTCTATCCATTAATAATGTTATGATTCTTTTTCTGTTGCCTAAAGAATTATAGTCCTATTAATCACTGAATCCTGTTTTTTTTGTTTTTTTTTTTTCTTTTTGTTTTTTTTTTGTCCTCCCCAGGCTCCTGCTTATATTCGGGAATGTGCCAGATTGTATTATCTGGGCTCCAGAACTCAAGTGTCAAAGGTAAGAACAGGAAACTGGTCTTCAAACAAGGGAAGGATTAAGATTAGTGAAGTTTTTAAACAAAGCATAACATCATCGTTAAATCAGTGCTTTTAATGTTGCAGCTCAAACTTTACCTAATCATTTGTTTTAGCAGGGGCCAAGATTAAGAAGACAGTTGTGGAATTAAAATGTCCCTACGTATAATATACTTGCTTGCCTGCTTTCAGAGGTCCTCACTAGTGGATGATATTCTCTACATAAATGTCACAGCATAGATCATAGGTTAAAGTTTTCTGTAAAATTTATTGTATTTTTATAGCCTATGATCTAAGCAACCTGTAAATGTCAAGTACATTATAATAACAAAGGTCCAGTATTATATAATTCATTCTTTTTTAAAATTTTAATTTAATTAAAATATTTATTTTATTTTATGTGTGTATAAGTTTACCACTTGTGTGCAATAGCTTATGAAAATCAGAAGGTGATGTTGGATCCTCTGGAACTTGAGTTACAAATGGTTGTGAGCTGCCATTTGTGTTCTGGGAATCAAATCTGGGTGCTCGGGAAGAGTAGACAGTGTTTTAAACTTCTAAGCCATCTCTCCAACCCTGATTTAAATTTATTTATTGGTTTGTTTGTTTATTTCTTTGTATGTGTGTATGTGTGTGTGGTAGTGGTGGTGGTGGTAGGTCTTGGCTTAAGCGTTCTCAGTTTCCAGGATTTCTCAGTGCAGTCTTGGCTGTCCCAAGACTGGCTATATAGAACAAACGGGTCTTGAACTCAAAGAGATCTCCTTGCCTCTGACTCCTAAGTGCTGAGATTAAAGGCATGTGCCACCATGCCCAGCTTTTAATTTTTACTTATGTGTATGGGTATGTGCATGGGTGCCAACAGAGGCCAGATATCCAGCCCATATCTAGTCCTATATAATTCATTGTTATTCAAGTTCATTGGTACAGTTACACTGTCAAGTAGTTAAAAGATTTCAGCCCATGGGCTGGAGAGGTGACACATGCGCACACACATATGCACACACACACACACACACACACACACAATTTCTCTCACTTTTTCTCAATAAAAGGGAGAAAAAAATGTATTCTAGATTGCTTTATGTTGCTGTGATAAACGCTATGATCAAGGCAGCTTAGGGGAGAAAAGGGTTTATTTCATCTTATACTTCCAGGTCACAATCCATCATTGGCAGAAGTCAGACCAGTAGCTTAAACAGAAACTTGAAGTGGACACCATGGACAAATGCTGCTTCCTGCCTAGCTAGCTTTCTTGGATAGTCTCTAGGCTCACCTGCCTAGAGATGCTGCCCCCTACAGTGGAGCTGGGCCTTCCCATATCAGTTATCAGTTAGGACAATCTCTAACAGATATGGCCACAGGCCAGTCTGATTAAGGCGATGCTCAGTGGAGGTTTCCTTTTCTCAGGTGACTGTTGGTTATGTCAAGTTGACAATGAAAGTTAGCCAGCAGCATTTGAGAACAAATGAGCTCAGAGAACTATATTATGCTTATGAACAGAAAGTTATGTAAGAATATTGAGCTGTGGCAGTGAGAAGCTGAGAAAGGCCCGCCAGCACTTGACTGACTTGTATTTAACCTGTGTTAGAGACTTGGAGACTGTGTCTTATGCTGTGTTTTCTACTCCTGTTTCTTTCTCTCATCCAGAAAATATTTGGTGTGACTAAGAAACAGCATTTTTTGCCTTAAGAAAAAGTTTTATTTATTTTATGTGCATTGCTGTTTTGTGAGTATGCATGTCTGTGTGAGGGTGTCAAATCCCCTGGAACTGGAGTTGCACACAGTTGTGAGTTGCCATGTGGGTGCTGGGAATTGAACCTGGGTCCTCTGAAAGAGTAGTCAGTGCTCTTAACTGCTGAGCCATCTCTCCAGCCTCAGGAACAACATTTTAAAAACTAGTTTAACTAGAGTGTTGTTTTCCTTGGAGAGCTGTAGCTTTTATTCTTTTTCTACTTCCATGTGGTTTGTATGGAAAAGAGTTTGAGCGAAGGCACAGTAGCCATGGGCTCTAGGGTAGGTTTATCACTTAAATGTCTAGATGAAATTAACTTTTACCTTAGGTTTTTGTTTGTTTGTTTGTGAATTGTTACTGTTCTGTCTGCTGGGACTAATACGTTAGAGTTTACCTATTGGATAGCAACAAGGATTACTTGAGATTAAAAAGTGTTTTGAAAACTGAAATCAAACAGCTATAATTCTCTATGGCAATGTTCTAAATGCCCGTTGATTTTCTGGGCAGATAATGGAAGTAGATTATTCAGAGGCCTTTATTAATCATTTTTCCTTTATCTGGTAATTGTGTTAGGATTTTCCTTGTTCCTGAATATAGTAGCATGTTGTGTTTCCATTTCCCACTTCTTTTGATCAAGGTTATTGTATGAACCCAAAACAAAGCCAGTAGGATATATTAATTTGGTTTTTTATAAATTTTTCTGTAGGATGATCTTGATTTGACAACCTCATGTCATGCCATGTCCTTCCAGCTGTCAAGATCTCAGAAACGGAATAGGGTAGATTCTTGTTCTCAGCAGGAGGAAACCCAGCAACATACAGAAGAGGCTCTGAAAGAACTCTTCCAACATGTTCATAACATGCCAGACTCAGCGAAGAAGAAACAACTTATTCGACAGGTGCCTGGATGCAGGGAAATTGGGTGGGCTCTAGGAGTCACCAGAGAGCACAGCTGAGTTTCTCACTGAGGTTTCACTCTCATGTAGAGCAAGCTTTGACTCAGCTAAAATAGCAGGCTTGTCCATGGAATCACAATGTACTCCTGTCCTGAAGGGAGGTGTGAAAGTACTTGATTTTCTGCAGTTATCTGTAGAATATCTGTAATTTTGGCATGTACCAAGTTTGCTTGGAGAGAACTAGCAGTTCCAATGGTCCAGAATTTAAATGCTTTATGTTTTCTAGGTGAATAATTTAATTTCTGAATTTCAGTTTTCAGGTTTGTAAAAACAGCAGTAGTAGCTAACATGCATGTGTCACACTTGTAAAAGTGGAGAGGATGGGCATAATGGTGCACATACATACACATACACATACACACACACACACACACACACACACACACACACACACACACACACACCCCAAATAATGAATGAGAGCTTTGGCTAATGACTATACACTAACTTGACTCTTCCCTTTTTCTTCTGGAGATGCCTCTACACCAAAAGCTGACAACATTGGAAGTCTGTATTCAGTCTTTTTCCCTTCACAGCAGTGCTGGCAGACAAGAGCATTAATACCTTTGGAACATTCTGGCTTAGGAATGAAGCTCTGTTGGTAGAGTGCTTGCTCTACATTCACGAAGCCCTGAGCTGGATCCCTGACACCTCATAAACTGGGTATAGCCTTCTAGTTTTATAATGTCATGACTTGGAAGATGGAAGCAGAAAGATTAGGAGTTGAAGGTCATCCTTGGTCATATAAAGAGTTGAGGCCAACCTCTGCTACATGAGATTCTGTTCTAAAGCTAAATCCTGACATACAGTTTGTTAAACTGAGGACTGCCATGGAATGTGCTAGTAACTTTCTATTTCCAAGGTAATTGATGCAGAATAATTCTGATTTACTGTCAGATCTTAGACCAGTTCATAAATATTCTGGATCTTTTTTTCTATTTGTAACCAGAGATAGTGAATGTCACTTCTGCTTTTGTGATTGCTTATTAACCTACTTTCTACCTCTACACAGACTCTTTGGCTCTCTGGGTATCTATATTCAGCTGTTACTTGCCCTAGACTGTCATTTCTTGAAGGGACAATATTAATAAAATGTACTCTGTATTTTCTTATAGTTCCATAAGCAGTCTTTGACTCAAACACCAGGGCGAGAGCCTTCTACTCCCAGAGTCCAGAAGAGAGCCCGTTCACGCTCCTTTAGTGGGCTTATTAAGGTGAGCCTACTGTGCTACTGCTATCCACATTGATTCTCAGGAAGTTTATGTCTTATTTTCTTGTGCACAAAGTGCTTAATTCTATTCCTTGGAGTTCTATAAACAGTTAATTGATGAGGGGACAGAGTTTGGGAAGGTTTTTTTCCAAAGCATTTTACTATGTCGCCAATGAAAGGAACTCTGTAGGAACTCTGTAGAGAAAGCAGCAACAACCTGCTCTTCCTCCCTGTGTCTAAGGATGGGAGTCTGGCTCTCTGCTTCACACTTTATCTCCCCGCCCACCCCCCATAGGGTTTCTCTGTGTCACAGCCCTGGCCATCCTGGAATCCCTCTGTAGACCAGGCTGTCCTCGCACCTGCCTCTACCTCGGGAGTGCTGGGATTAAAGGCGCGTGCCACCACCACTGCTCAGCCACACTATGCACTTCTTTATGCAGTTTGCCACATGTGTGGGGGAGTGAGCAAGCTGAGGACTAAGGAAATTGTTGGGCAAATGGTTTTTCTAACACCTCAGTGGATTTTGATATCTTTAATTTTGGTGAACTTAATGATTTCATTGTTGTTTTAGTCTCTTTCCATGTGTCAGAATTATTAGAAATCTTGTTTTTAGAACAAATAGAAAATATATTTCTGTGTTGTTGCTGCTGTCCCAGTGTGCAGACGACTGAACATGAGTGCAGTTAGTGAATGTTGCCATCAGGTGGCAGTAGGTGATTTGGTCACAGGGCTCTGATTTCCATTTAATTTAGCCCAACTAAAGCTGCTAATCCAGAGCGACTAACTCTATTCTTACTTCTACTTTTCTTGAAAAAATTGTTTTAACATTGTTAAAGTATATAATTCTACAAATATCAAGGAGCCTTTTGACTAAAACTTACATTTTTTTTTCTCTAACAAATGTGTGCCTTTTAATTTTCTCCCCTTTTTGCTGGTCCTTAGCAGTTGCAATTTCATTTAGCCCTCCTTTTGATCCTTTTTATATTTTGCAGAGGTCCAGAATCCATTCTCCATCCTCATGGATGGGCCAGTGGCCTGTGGGACGTGATGCTTGCTGCTGGCGAGTTTGCTCTTCACAATGGAGGGAAAAGGCAGCTTGTGGGACAGGAGACAGTGTTTGCACGTCACCTATCTGGTTAGGAGATAATATCCAGAAAATAGAAGGAACTTGTGTAGCTCAGGATTGCTGAAAATCTAAGCTCATTATAAAACAGACAAATAACTTGAATAGACATTTCTCTCAAGACATACATGACCAAGAAAGACACGAGGAGCTGTTCATCTTCATAATCATTTGCGGTAAAGCAAACCCGCAGTGCTGTGCCACTTCACACCCTGGATGACTGCTGCCCCAAACAGAAAGTCAAAATGTTGATGAGGATGTAGGGAAATGAAAACCCTGTACACTACTGCTAGGAATATGAAGCGGCAAAGCTGTTGGGGAAAATCAACAACAGAATTAATTCTTGATCCAGCAATTTCAAATCTGTGTATATATCAATGAATTGAAAGCAGGGTCTGGGGAGTTATCTGTATGCCAGTGTTCACGAAAGCATCATTTACAGTGGCCAAAGGTTGAAGCAGTCTCACTGTTCATTGAAGGACTGAAGATGCAAAGTGTAGAGAGAGTGGAAGGTTAGACTGGAAGGAGAGTCTTATACACTCCTCACTGTGGTGGGCCCCGAGGTGACAATGAATTACATAAGCCAGTCACTAAAGGCCGAATGCTGTACAGTTCTGCTTATTTGAGGTACTAAAGTGGTCAAAGTCATGGAGACAGGAGAGGGAATGAGGCGTTGTCTTTTGTTTAAGAGTAGTAGTGTGGGAATGGGTGAGCTGGCTGTGTTTTATGGCACTGTGATTGTAGTAATGCCACTTAAAATGGGTAAGGTCGTAAACTTGATTGTAATTCTTTTCTTTTTGAGACAGGGTATTGGTAGTTATTGCTTGAAATGTAGATGTTGTTATTGGCTATTGCTTACCTCTATACTAAGGGAGTACTTGAGCTTCATAAGTTATTAAGACAAAACATTTTAGAACATTATTTTTTCTTTTTCTTTTTTTGGTGGCATTATCAATCAGCTGGATTCAGGGCCTCATACATGTGAGCAAGCACTCTGTCATTGAGCTACATTCCAAGCCCAGAACAACAGCTTTAAACACAGATGTTATAATAGCAAATTTTATAAAACAGAGGGGCAAGGTGTTTTCATTATAAATGAAGAGACTGATAGAAGATACAGCCTTTTTGTCAGTTGCTCTGCAGTGAAGTTTATCTCCTAACTAGATAGGTGACGTGCAAACACTGTCTCCTGTACCACAAGCTGCCTTCTCACTCCATTGTGGAGAGCAAAGGAAACTCTCCAGCAGCAAGCGTCACGTCCCACAGGCCACTGGTCCATCCATGAGGATGGAGAATGGATTCTAGACCTCTGCACATTTTTGTTTGTGAGTGGTACTGGGGTGTTGCACATGGTAGATCCAACTCAGAGTGCCCTTTTGAAAATTCTCTGGAAGCTTTATAACTAGTCTGTGGATCTTGGCATTCCCAGTTCAGCATCCTCAGGTGATTCCTTCTCTCTGAAGGGACGATATACAGACCTTATTTTTCTAGTGTGTGTGTGTGTGTGTGTGTGTGTGTGTGTGTGTGTGTACACGCGTGTGCACGCGCACATGCACTTCAGCTATTTGATTTCTTTTAAAAAATAGCTATTTAATATTTAATAGTTTTTTAAAAATTAAAACTTTGGAGGCTAGAGAGATGGCTCAGCAGATAGGAGAACTTGCTGCTCTTCCAGAGGACTGGAGCTCATTTCCAGCACCCACCTCGGGCAGTTTTCCACCACCCATAGTGCCAGCTCCAGGACATCTGATGTTGCTGCCCTCTGTAGGCTGAGAGCTCACATGTGAGTGTGCATGCACATACACCAATAAAAATAAAACAAGGTCTAAAAAGAAATTTAAGACTTGTAGAAATTTGCTTTTCTTCTAGTTTTACAGAGGTGTGTCTGTCAGTGGGTTCTGCATCAGCCTCTTATTTTGGAAGAAGGTTTTCCTCTGGGGTCTGTCATGTAAATAACAAATCATATCAAACTATTCTGAACCCCGTTGTTGATAGTTATAATGTAGAGTTTAATGCTTTAGTCTTTTAGTTCTGTTTAGTATTTTTTTTTCCTTTGGTGCTTTAGTTTTGATGATATTCTTGTTTTGAAATTCAGATTTCTTCTTTGGGCAAGAGGGAGGCTTCTCTAAGATAGAGTTGTTACCATGAGCTGCTGCAGCAGGTCACATCAGCTTCCAGGCTGCTCAGAAGCCTTGTATTCTTACTGTGGGTCAGTGGTCATGTGACCCCCCCCCCCCCCCCGAAGGCCTGGGGCCTTTTATGCCTGTATTAGAAACTCTTAGACAGTTTCTGGACATTTACTAGTCATGTGTGAGGAAGGACAGAGAAGCAGAATCCTAGAGAACCCAGCCTGTGGTTCCCTTAGTGGGGAGAGGAAGGGACCCTTAACAGCTGCTAGAGAGAACACCTTTTCCACAAGCCCCACACCTCCAAAAAAGCTCAACCCTCAAGAGTGACTGGTAGTTCTTTCAAGCTCACAGGTATACTGCTATTAGATAATATTAGGTAGGTAAGATCGCCCAGAGAAACAGAGTTCTCATTGTTTGCTGTATGTCTTCCCTTCCCTTGTATGACATGGCCTGGGTCTGTGCAGAAGTTATCAGGATTCTGAGTTTTTTAATTGAGGAAGTTGGAGTTTTGAAGATCATTACAGCTACAAAAGAGCAAATGCTCATGAGCAAAATATTTTCTGTTTCCAAATCAGCGCAAAGTCCTGGGCAATCAGATGATGTCAGAAAAGAAAAACAAGTCCCCTACTCCAGAGGCTGTGGCCATGGGTGAACTGAAGAGAGTCAGCAAAGAAAATATGAGCTTGGTAAGAGCACGTTCTTTCCCTGTCCTGTGGAAAGGAGGAGGCTAGCAGGCTGGTGCTTGTTCTATTATGAGTCTCTGGCTCAGTCAGCGGTGCTTAGGGCCTTTTCTGTAGGTTTTCACCAAATCATTGGATATACTTTCTTTTTTCTCTTTCTTTCTTTCTTTCTTTCTTTCTTTCTTTCTTTCTTTCTTTCTTTCTTTCTTTCTTTCTTTCTTTCTTT